ACCGATCCGTCGCTTTGATCAACTCACTAATCATCGCCTCGAAACACGACGACAGAATGTACGTCTCCGGCTGTCCACTATAATCTGTACCCAGTTGACACGCCATATCGTACGCTGCCTTCGCCAAACTTGAGATCGCCTCAAAATACCTTTTGTGAACAACTGAATTTATATCAAATCAGACAGATTGATGAATGAAAACACCAACCCAGCAAACGTTGGATGCAACCCGTGGCTCTTGCTGCAGTGCATTCGAAAGGGCTGGTAACATCGGCGTCAATATCTCGCGACGTATCACTACCTCTTCACACGAATCACACACTCGACCGATACACCAGGCGGCCGTGTCTCGAACTTGTAACTTAAATTCAATATGAATACATTCATTAATAATAACAATAATAATAAATAATAAATAAGGTTAAAGACTACGGTTCTTCCGTAATTTCTGCGCATTATTTCGGTCACTTACCACTATTCACGTTATTATTATTATTATTATCATTACTATCATTATTATTTACCAAAATGCGCATCACAACGCATACTCATTTGTTCATCCGCGAAATAATAAATAAATAAATAAATAAATAAATAATCCAACCTGACTATCACCCAATGCCTCAATAAGACTTCCAATGGCCTGCTCGACCAGTTCGGTTAATATTTTCTGATTCGGACCATCCAGTATCGAACCAAATGCCATTATCGCTGCTTCACGATATCTTCAATTCAAATTTATCACAAGTTAGTCCACAAGGGGATGCGAACTCCGTTTGCCTTATTAGTTCTTGAGTGATATCATTAAATTAGCTCGGCCAAACTCACTAGATAAAAGGCCAACCAGCCAATCACCAAACCCTCCGAACTCACCTCCAATTAGTGTTTTTGAAGTGCTGTTGAATGAAAGGCAGAATATGGGCCACAATCGAATCCCCAGTGCACTGCGCCAACAGCATTATACAAACCCCCGACGCCTTTGCTGGATTCCAATCGTCATCGTCATCTGTTTCTTCTTGTTTCGCTAACGTCTCGGTGAGGATCGAGATCAGGTGCGGTAATGCTCCTTTATAAACAATAATATTAGCAATTATTATAAATATTTTAGCAATAGCAATAATATTAGCAATACTAGAAACTAATCACAATAATATTAGCAATATTATCATATTTACAAACAAGCAATAATATCAGCAACTACTCCAGATTAATCTCCAAATCAACCGAACCTTTGGCATAATGTCTCGAGACGTGTTCAGGTGTCGTTCCACGTTCCTGTGCCTCCTCGGCCTCCACGGACAACGCGATCTCTTCCTCGCAAACATTCGACCAAAACTCGATGCCTTGCAGTGCAACATCATCGATTTGCATCTTCATCGCATTCACTGTTATCTAAACACAAACACATCGCCATCATAAATATCACAAAAATCCCGCAAAACATTCCAAAAACCCAACCCAACACGAAAACCTACCGGAAAGAGAGCGTACATGTACTGCTCCATGTAGATGTAATAAAGTGACATAATTCTGACAAGACACTGCATCGCAACAACCTTCACTGGTGTCTCTTGGCACTGTGTTGCCTCACAAACCATTTGCATTATCACGTTTCGTTCATCCTTAAATTACAAATATCAATATAATAATACACAATCAATTCTATTACCCAGACAACAATAATAATAATAATAATAATAATAATAATAAGAATAATAATAATAATAATAGTGTACCTCATTAATGAAGTTCTTTTTCGTGAATTCTAACGAGTTCAACATCGCATTGGCAGCAGCCAAACGCACATGATTCGGTTCTTCCTTCCTGATGCCGTGCACGATTGCCGTCAATATCTCATTTGCCTTTCCTTCTAGTGTTGATGCGTTTATATCTTGACATATATAACCCAACGCCTGCAGTATTTAAGCACATCTTGAAACGATCACAAAAAATAAAATTGCTGATTTTGAAATATCAGCTGAGTGCAGGATCGAAACAAGATCTAATAATCCTCTGATTGTGAGCAATATTCAGAAACAAGGAATGATATCAAATGAAGACATTCGTGATGGAACGAAGGCCTTTAACAGCACAATGACCATCAACAATACTCACCTCTAAACACGACTCTTTAAGCATTTCATTACTCGACGCCGTCGTTACGTTGTGTTTCAACAAAGAAATCACTTCTGGCCATTGCTAAAATTTACACATTTTTATCATTTCGCAACCAACCAGTGTGCACCTCATTCGATTAATGTTTCAGTCAATGAAATGAACCTGAGATGGTATTTCAGCACACGCGATTGCAGCAACACACTGGGCTGCGATCGATGGTCGGAATGGCTCCGTTCCTAGCGTTTGCACTACGTTCTGTTTGATGAACTGACGAATATTTTGGGGTAGATTCAGCCATCTGAACAAATTGCTCCAAAATTCATAAGAAACTGCTCAATGTAAATTTGAGGTAAACAAGTTCCAAGCCAATAACTAGTCTCGAACTAAATCCGCAAACACTAGCCAAAAGCAATGGTTAGCTTCATCTTAAATGTGGTGTACAAAACAGTCTTCTCGTTTTACAGACACGTTAACTACAAAACAGTTCAGAAGAGTGATGCATATTACAAAA